AAGTCCCCACAAATTCCGGCTGTGCCTCAGCCGCATTTAGTTCGGATTTTAAGGTTGAATTTCTTAATATTCACCAACAAAATAATTCTACCGGGAGTAATAAGTAGGCCTACCATGTAAGTAGTTACATATTAGTGAAAAGATAGTGAGGGGGCTTTAAACTTTAATACTAATAAGGGAAAACTATTATTTATATGTCGAAAAATAAATTTCCATTTGTCTGACCGGATCATTACAAATAATTTATAAGTAAAAAACTTTTTTAAAACAAAACGTTTTTAAACACACTAAAAAGTAGAAAATAATTTATAAATATGTGGAGAGTATAAATACTTGTAAGATTTAAAACGAAAAACGTCGGGTGCATGCAATAGATAATTTACAATTACTTTCACCTATTGAACTAATGTATTATTATAAATTGCATGCACCCCACGTTTTTCGTTTTAAATCTTACAAGTATTTATACTCCACATATTTATAAACTATTTTCTACTTTTTAGTGTGTTTAAAAAGTTTTGTTTTAAAAAAAGTTTTTTTATTATAAATTATTTTCTACTTTTTAGTGTTTAATGTGTGTGGATGTTAAATCTATTTCAAGCATCCATATCAGATTAAGACAGAGGCATGTGGGAAATCTAAGGTTTATGGTTTATTTGAGTTTATTTTCATATAATTATGTATTAGATTGAATGTATGGCCTACCTACTAACTATAAATATATCAATCTATTTAATTTATTGTTTATAGAACTTTATAGAACTTTATACTTTATAGAATATTATATAAATAACCATTGACATTATTAACAAACACCTTTATATCTGCAATCAGATTGTTTATCTTTATTTTGAAATGTTTGTTTGTGTAAAGAATCTCTTGTGAGAATAACCTGTACCTCTTAACCTCTGCTCTTCGAACTGTCAAATTTAAGTATTTTCAGCTGACTTAAATTTATTTTTTTTACAGCATTTATTTCTGGTTCAATGTAGACATTATACACAGAAGTGTTAACAAAATTAATAAGAAATTAACTATAATAACATTGTGGGTTTGCCCAAACCTGAGACACCCTGTAACATAATTAATTTAGGGAATAATTTAATCGTCTTTAGGCTTCATCCATCCAATAGATCTTGAGGGAGCCTTCGACGTAGCCTCCTGTTCTCAGTTGCTTCACCAAGATGAAAAGTTAATGCACCATGGAACATTGTTTAAAGATTTTAGAAATTTTGAGGTGGTTTTTTCAATAAAGGCCGAGATAGACTCCACTCCTAGTTCTTCATTATTTGATATGTTTACATTCTTTCAAAATGTAAACTTGGAAAATCTGGAAGCCCATGGGGCGTAGCCCAAGGGAAATTTGTAGGAAAGCGAGCTAATAAAAACAAGCCCATGGGGCGTAGCCCAAGGGAAATATGAAAATTAAATTATATAATATTGCATTGTCATCCATTTGTGAGCCATGTTTCAAGTTTCAAGTCTCTAGCTCATTGGGAAGTATCAAAATTTGCAAGAAAGCGAGTTAATAAAAACAAGCCCATGGGGCGTAGCCCAAGGGAAATATGAAAATTAAATGATATAATATTGCATTGTCTTCCTTTTGTGAGCTATGTTACGTCATAGCCGTCTTCTATCGTGACGTCATGCTTGATGAGCATTACGGCCTGTTTTTTTAGTGTGGCCTTGGTTCGTACCACCATTTTCGGCCCTAGGTACAAAATCTATATATTAATTTGAAACTGTTTTTCTTTGTCATAGCTAAATTGAGAGAACGGCTGGGCGTAGAAACTCGGTAGAGGTGTCTAAAGAAAGGTCTTGGTCTGTAGATGAGCCATCAAAAGAGAAACGTGGTAAATTCCCATGGGGCTCTGCCCCAGTGGCCTTTGATTTCCGATCCCATCTATTACATTATTAAAGTGATACAATCAAATTTTATGTAAACGGTTAACCCTTTCAGTGCTAGGCCAATAATTCATATTTTGTAAGACTTTTTTGTTTGCCTTTTAATTTCATTACCTGTTGTTGAATTTTAATTGTCATGTTGTCACTATTTTATTAATTAGGCTAATTTTGAATAATAACACAATAAGAAAATATATAAGAAAGATAAATCCCACTATTTGTAGTAAACATTAAATAAAACTTAGTTTTTGTTGTAATTTTCCTGGTTTTCCTATAAATTTTTATGTTGTTTTGAAACCAAAATCTCATAAAATCAAAAGACATATAGTTTACAATGTAATATTGAATTTAACCTTGATTTAGTTGGACGAGGTTATCGTAATATAGCCATTTTAGGGAAACTAATGTTTTGCAGCAAAGTCTCAGGAACACATTTATGATCACTGTTGTGTTTAAACTAAAAGATTGCATCTAAATAGTCCGTGACTAACTGGTGCTGCTACCTAGTAACGCATTGAACAACCATCTCCAGCGCCATCTGTTCGCAATCGGTGGCGACAGCTTAAATACCGGGGTTTTACTCCCCAGTCTTCAAGCACAGATAGCCGAGAAGGCTAGGGCGTGTGTCACTTGGCCAGTGGCATTCGTCTGCTCGGGTTCGAATCCCGTCCTGTGTGGCAAATAATTGGTGACCTGTGTGTTTGTAGCGATATACTACAACCACTGGGGCATAGTGAGGTGTTCATAATCCTTGGTTTAGACATACACCTCGAAATCATCGGATTGGGCGAATCTTTTAGCTAAGTGGTTGATAGTGTATCCTATGAACATGCAGGTCACCAATGGCCGTTTTGCTATTTTTCGTTAAAATAACCCTCCTCTCTATATCCCTTAGAGATTTTTTAAAACAACGATATATCGTTTCATAGCACTGAAAGGGTTAAGGCCATTTACCAAATAAAAATATGGGCATATGGCATATCAAAATGAAGCTTAGAGTGTGTAGATTTGCCGAAAAGTATTGATATGGAGTATGGACGAACTGTCTAAGATGCTCTTCCCCTCAGGCTGATTTCCAAAGGGCTACGCCTTGCATGTTTTTGGAAGGTAACGTTATTTGATTTTTTAGTGAACAACAGCTGGTCAATGCAATAGACAATATTATAGATTGTTTGTTTACATTTTTGTTTACTTCTTTTATTATTTACTTTTATTTTCTTAAAAGAGGTGCGGTGAATGGACAGTGAAGCTATTTCAAGATGTTTGATACAAGTGAGTGATTAAAGGTGTTCGAAACACGATGAATATGAGTCTAACAAACCATGTATGTTGTTCGTTCTAAGAGGTTGTCACCGATCTTTGACAGGTCGCTATTTCATTGAAAAGTATTAGACGTCGTGAAAGAGAGTGGCGTGTTCAGGTACAACCATACCCTCCTCAGCCCACCTTAGGACGTAAGGTATGAAGGTTCCACTGCTTTTAACATCCTTTCAGATGACAATTTCTCGAACTTGGGCCCTTTAAATGAAATATAAAGTCAAAGTTGATTAAATTAATTCAATTGTGGCTTCTGTACACCTGTGAGTTCGCGGGTAGAACCTCTTGTGTTATTCTTATGGAGGAAAAACTGGGTGTTTGTCCCAGCTAATTTGAGAGAACTGCTGGGCGTAGAAACTTGGTAGGGGTCTCTAAAGAAAGGTCTATAGATGAGCCATCAAAAGGAGAACGAGGTAAATTCCCTTGGGGCTCTGCCCCAGAAGCCTTTAAAGTTGCCTCTTCAAATTTGTTTACCATATGCATAATTCTACACTACTTTTTAATGAAACAGCTGTTAATATTTAAATTGTGATTTATTGAATTTTTCAAAAAGAAGTAGTATTTGCAATGGGTTTTTCTGATTTTAAAATCAATTTTATTCTGTATCGTGTCATGTTTTGAAATATAATGTTCTATTAACAAATCAGTGGAAAATCCTAATATCACAGTAACTCTTAAAATTATTTCTTATGGAGTTAAATTATATCTATTGTATGGCTTGGTTTCTGCCTTTTTTACCACTTCTTGGAGATTGTACGTAGGTGATATTCTTTGGCGTATTGCATCTGTAGACAAAACTTGGGTTGGTGAAATTATTACAATGGAAAAAAGCTAGAAATCCTGAACAATTTGATATTGGCTAAAAATAAAACTCAATTAACAATATGCTACATTTCTTGAGCAATCATTGAAATAACCGATTTGCAAACAATGGAAACATAGAAAAAGTCATATAACACAACCAAGTAGAAGAAAAGAAATAATGTTTTTTTTTTTCATTTATAATCGTTATTTTAGACAACCTAATACGGCTATGAGAGGGAAAAAATTGTAGAAACACTAAACAAGATCAGCTTTTTGAGAAAAGATAAGATATTTACAAAAGATTTTGATTATATCTAACTGTTGTGTAGATCGTATTTCCATAATCTTCGTGAGTCGCCTGTAATGCTTCGCAATTGCTCGAATTCGAGCAACAGGTACACTAGTATACTATTAAAGCATTTTTATGATTTTGCACAATTGAAGTTTAATGCTTACTGAAATATGGTTTTTTAATCGTACCCGGTCGAAACACCGTGTGCGTCACCTCACGTTTTCAATTCCGGGACCTCTGCCGGGTTAACAACATGTCTAAAGCCTAAGAAATGTGTTGTGTTACCACTTTTAACTCAATTACTTTATACTGCCAAAATTTTGGATTATATTCCAGCAAAAACCCAAAATGTTGCAATGAATTCAGTCAGAGCAATTTTTAAGTCCAGTCCTATCAACTACTTCTAGGAGTATACAGGTGCCTATGCACTAAAATAGATACCTATCACTCTAATAGAAAAAGTAAGACCACCCTATTTTCAATGATGTAAGAATAAAAGCATAAGTATATTCTGGTAGATTCAAAATGTTTACGATTACATCTTTTATTTGAAGAATTTTAATACCTTTAGAACACTAAAAAAGTAAATCTTCCACTTTGGTGATTGATTGATGAATTATGATGAATGATTGAATTTTGGAAGATAAAAACCAACAAGGAATTTTTACAAAAACCATTCCAGTAATATAGTACATGTTTATTTTTTATAGAGTACTGACCAACACAGAATATGAAATTAAACAGATTTATTTGTTAATAAAAAACAAAACAATTCAATTTTACTACAGAGTAGAGCTACAGTAGCCTGTACACGTACGTTTTAACAGGATGAAGAAGATTTAAAGAGACCAACAGGATGGCTGGATGATGTTGGCTAGCACTCTAGGCTCTCTGAAACAAAGCAGAAAAGGTGTTAACTAGGTAAATGAATAGCAGATGGTAACAAAATGTGATACTGACCTTGAATAGAGGCTATCAATACCAACAACATGACTCATAGATTACAGGTTTTCCAGTAGCACTGGGCAATATTTATAGTAGGTTAAACGACAACTGCGATATGTTGGCAACGGTACATTGTAGAACTGTTATTAAAATTGATTTTTTATCGTCTTTGAAGTACCGTAAGACAAAAAAATGACCCGTCATTCGTTTATGTACTAGCTCTAAGGTATCAATTGATTACCGGTAATAATTATATATTGTGACCCCAATTTTTGTGGAATTCCGACAGTCCAGAGTGGATGTCACTAATAAAGGCTCGGGGTATGTCAACAGGGGATTAGATGGCCCATTCTACAATGCACCTGAGAGGGTGTCTCTCTACGTTTGGAGCCAACTATACCTGAACAGCGCTATTGCAGAGTAGGGTTCAGTGGCCCAAACTACACCACCTTGGGAATGTCACTTTTGACACTGGGCATAATTGACGCGTGGGAAATGTTGCTGGCACAATAAGTAAGTTTTGTTGTTTTATAATATTTTTTTAAATACTAAATTAAGGTGCTCAAAGGCGCACTGCATTAACGATTGACTACCGTGACACAAGCGTCAGCGTCCCAAACTATGTCGCCAACAACTATTAGCATCAGTCGGCATCAACTATTAGCATGACCCCTTGTATACTCAGTGATAATACGAAAATAAACTATCGCTATGGGCGACAGATGGATATATTCGTCCACCAAATACTTTTGCGTGGGCCTAGATGTATAGGCCTAAGTTAGCCTATATCTGTAACTTTTGTAGCCTATAGATATTAGGCTACTCAAGTTATCGTAGTTCGGTGCTAGAAAAAAATCTTTTTATGATCCATGAAAAGTCATATCTTTTAAATTTTGAGTAGGTGTATAATCTAGGTGCCAGGCCTTCATAATCCCCCCCCCCCTCATAATAGCGGGAGTGTTGCTGAAGGTCTAAGTCCCGGAAGGTCTAATTAGACCTTCGACACACGTTTTGCAGTTTGTACTTGTTGCTGAGGGTCTAATCTGGCAGTATGTCAAATGTCTAAGTCCCGGAAGGTCTAAGAGTACAGTCAATGCAAAAAACTCATCCACTGATACTGTTTTAGACCTTGCGGGATTAGACCTTGGGCAAACAATGTATATTTTGTAAATAAATTATTATAAAATGAGAGTTGCTGAAGATCTAATTCCTGGAAGGTCTAAGATTCGAGTCCCGGAAGGTCTACGATTCAAGTCCCGGAAGGTCTAAGATTCGAGTCCCGGAAGGTCTAAGATGTGGGCGGGCATTGCGTCGCCAGAGATGAAGGCTATACAGGCAGGCAATAACCCAACAACTTTTAGAGTTGTAATAATCTTAGTGATAGTTTTAATAACTCTCACGTCTTTTTTTGCTAGATCGTTATTACAAGTACGATGGAGATATAAAAAATCCTTATTTATATTATACCATTGAATATTGGATATTTTAATTTTTGTTACTGGCATAGTTGCTGGGCCATAACAGTTGCTATAGCTCAGAATAAATCATTACATCAGTTTACATTGGTAATTAAAAACCATTGTGCAATCGGCAGAAATAAGTTAATGTTGGTGTTAAAATAACATCGTTAGTTTCCTCGGTGTTCAGGATTCTGTTTTGTTTATTTCAGCTTAACTTAGACAATAAATAGTTTCATCCATTGACTTTATACCACATATATAGTCAATGTTTCATCTTACTAATATTATAAATCTAAAAGTTTGTGAATTTTTGCGTGCGTACGTATAAGGCCGGTTCCGAGGCGATCGATGTGATTTTCCACCGTGGGTCCGAGCACAGAAAACATATTACTGTTTTCTGTGGTCCGAGGTCCCTGCTTGTTTCGAGGTCCTGGTGCGGGACCTCGGATCCAAATACAACCTAAAACGTGTTCGATGCCAGAGAATAATTTTAATATCAATATTAAGTGATTTTGAGCGAGACCTTGGAACCCTAATGGAAAGCTTAAAACTTCTTCATGGAATTTCCGATAGGAACGTAGCGATAGTTTTTACTTGTACACAATGTGGCATGTGACATAAAATGAAATACTCCGCGGGAACTGATGTCCGTGTCCGTTTCCCTCACATATAATGTATACACGATACACCCTCTGATACATCCTTCAACTGGAAGCAGAGGCTCCCCTTTAACTCCCACCTCCACCTCTCTCCAAGATGACATCGTATTTCAGATATCATATCACTAACGGCAGTCGGCAGTCCGAATGGAATGGGAACAGTTGCTATTCAACACCTCACGAGAACGTTGTTTCCAAGCTGTGCTCGTTTGTTCCTAGGCGAATAACAGTAGTAAAATTAAAGAACAAGTATCTTGGTTCTATTATAGGCCTACCTCATAACCATAATTATTAGTACTCACGTGGGCCTATGAATGTTTATGCATTTTTGGAACGTACTACACATTAACATAACATGTAAACATGAGTTTTTTATTAGATAAACAGTGTTATTCATACCATTGTTACTTAAGCAAATTATTCCGATACAAAATATAAAAAAATAATTTCAGTATTAAATAACACTAGTGGCTTGTAGGGACATAAGTCCCTAAAAAGCTCCAATGTAAAACAAATTATTGTATTGTTTAAATAACCTCAGAATCAAATTTTATTCAGATATCTCAGTACATAATCTGTTTACAGTTTATTGTTTTTTTTTCTTTATGATAAAAATAATGATAATAAAAAGGCTTCCCTGATTGAAATATTGGAACTTGTTATCGTCAAAATATGAAAAGGTGAATAAAGGTTTGTTGAGATAAGCTTATAGTCCGTCCGTTTGGTCATGATACCCAGCGGATTAGGAACCTTTTCAGAACTCAACTCACCCTCTCGACCCGATAGTCGGGCTGGCCGGAGACAAACAATGACTCACCCACTGGCACAGTCGCACAGATCTGTAACTTGTTTTGTTTGAAGTTAAAATAAATTGTTCTTTATAAATTTTAGTTCTACAAAAAATTCCAAAAATAATGAGCCCAACCACGAAGTGGATAATTGAATATATATAATCGGAAAGCATTACAATTAGGTACTCTGTATCGTCACCAGCTTTGTCAAACTTTCTGATCGTAGGACTGGGACAGTAGGTAGGTAAACTTTTTATCAACGACCAGCCTGGCAAGGGAGTCTGAAGGGCGAGTCGAGTTCTGAAAAGGTTCCTAATCCGCTGGGTATCATAGCCAAACGGACGGACTATAGTTCTTTGTGAAAACCTCTAAATTAGCATCTCGACACAGTTATTATTTCTATGTTTAGGACTACGCTCAGTTTGTAAAGGTTTGACAAAATTAGTGTAAAGTAAAGGCATCCCACTGACATAACATAACCCTAAATTTGATTCTGTTCGACATTACAAAAACTACTATTAGCCTAGTGTAAATATATGTGGTGGTAATCCTCCTAAGGTGGAATTGACTTTACATATTCTATAAGGAAAATGTCCAATCAAATTCTGATTACTAACTATTATTGCGACTGGTTAGGGTTCATAAGATCCTAATATAAGACTCTATAGTTGATGATTTATTTAGAAAGTCCAAAAAAGTGTATTTAGGTTTATTTAGGGGCCATTGAAAAAGTGTTTATTCTTTGAATTCCTTCTCTAAAGCTATTCAAGCTCTAAGGCTTTGTATTTTAGGAGTTACAGTGTGTTAAAGCTAAGAAAGAATTACGTGCCGTGTAGGGGCCTACATTCGACGCCATGTATCTCTTAAATGAGTAAGTTTAGAGATAAAATGCTAAGGGTAAAAAAGTCTGAAAATTTCATATACAGTCTAAAAAGACCTTAAATTAAAAAACATAAAAAATAATGATCCCATGGCAAAACATTTTAAAATAAGAAAACTAGGTTTTTTGCATTTTTAGAAAGTGGAAGCAATTTTAATACCTATTTACTCTCAGCATAAAATATAGGGTCTTCCATAATATAAATCAAAGTTGGGGGCCATATTGGAAAAATGGCTGATAAATTGTTTTTTTTTTTACTTTATTCCTATAACTGTTTGAATAAAAAATCTAAGACCTCTTTCACACTGTCATGCGACGTTGGTCTATGGGAGTTTTTATATAAGTTTTTTCACACAATGTCCATCGCGCGCCTGCGGCCTGACTGACTGCGAATTCGCCGAACGCGAGTTACCGCCGGATGCACCTACGCCGGACAACTCGTTAAGGGGTAGTTCGGCTGCGTCCCGAAAGCCACGAATGTTTATGGCTAAAGCTGGGGGACGAAAACCACAACAATTAGTAAAGGGTCGAAAAGGTTTTAATCCTGGGGACGTAAGCCACGTCTGCGAGCCAGGTAGACAGCTGTCAGGGTGGCAGCTCACAGAAAGAACGGAAAATTTTAGCTCCCTGTTTTATTTATGCGTCTCAAGCTAATTCGTAAGTCCAATCTGAATCCGCCGTGATATAAAGGTTAGAAATATACTATTGAGCTCTATTACTGTTTGTTATTTTATTCTACTGTCTGGTTATCGTTAGTGTACTGTAGTTGTTCATCGCAATAATTAATTTCAAGCAAATAATAACTCTAGATAAGCTATTACCGTAGATACTATAGTGAAACCTAAGCCCTGTCCTCACAGGCCAATGATGTATTAAATATATTAATATTTATTCAACAAAATTGGTTATTAATGTGTGACGGACGATTACTAAAGTGCTGAAGTTCAAGTTAGGGAGAATTAACCATCAAGAGCTTCGGACTGCTCACTCTAAAAATATCTTAAAATCATGTTTGTTGCTATAATTCTATTTCCCATAACTTAGGTTTACACGTTTAAACCTATTTTTTAATAGTACAATCAGTTCCACCATAACTTTATTGAAAAGATATATACAAATTTAAGTTACTTATTCACCTTGTATGATGTGTTATTGT